AAAAAAAAAAAAAACACGGGCCTGGCGGTGGTGGCGCACGCCTTTAATCCCAGCACTCGGGAGGCAGAGGCAGGCAGATCTCTGTGAGTTCAAGGCTAGCCTGGGCTACCAAATGAGTTCCAGGAAAGGCGCAAAGCTACACAAGAGAAACCCTGTCTCGGAAAAAACAAAACAAACAAACAAACAAAAAACCCACTGACTAACCTGGGCAGTGGTGGTACACTCTAATCTCAGCACTCAGAAGGCAGAGGCAGGTGGATCTCTGTGAGTTCAAGGCCAGCCAGGTCTACAGAGCAAGTTCCAGGATTGCAGAGAGAGACTCTGTCTTGAAAAACACAAAAACAAAAACAAAAACAAAACAAAGCAAAAAACTAAAACCAAACCAAAATAACAACAACAACAAAAAGACACTAACTAGCTGATTGGACTAAAAAGCAAGATCCAAATTCTTTTGTCTCTAGGAAAGGCATCTCACTGGCAAACAGTTACAGACTGGAAGTGAAAGATGCAAGTCAGTGTGCCAAGTAAATGAAAGTTGCTACAAGCTGCAGGAAAATGCAACGGAATTCAGCTACTATCACAAAAGCTACTACTTGGAAAAGTCAAGGACTTCTCCAAAGGTCAAGCCATGGCTTAAGAAGTCATGTTGATTATATATATATATATATATATTTGCTGGTTCCTAAAATGTGCTTCCAAGACCTCCTAACAGTGTATTTATCTAAAATGCCTATCAAGGCCAAACAAAACAACACCTGTCTCCTAGGTCAGGCAGATAGCTTTATTTCTTGTGCAATTTAGGGTGAGACCCTCCTTTCTTATACAACCTTACTAGTAGATCCCTAACTTCTTACCTAACCACTTCTCAGAATGCAGACTGAGCACACAGATCCCCTTTTTCATACACTAACGGTCATTAGCACTCAGGTGACCTCCTCTTTGACCACTCCCATTTTGGATTGTAAAAGAAAGCCTGGTGGTCACTGCCTGAGGAAAATGCTTACCTGCCTTTATGACCCCGCTCGACCAGGGGATTGCTATTGCTTGGGTCTATAACTGGATTGCTGGGAGACTTAGGAGGAACGTGGAGAACTTAGAGACAGAGAACAGAGAGGGATAAGGAGGATTTTGACCAGAAAGAACGTGTGGACGAGATGGAAGATGAGGAAGAGTCAGATGGAGAAGTACTAGCTGGGTAAGAACAAGATGAAAAGGACCTGGATGAGGCAGAATTAAGACGAGAGAATTAAGATAGAACTTAGAGCAGTAGATAAATATAGAGAGAAATAAGGCAGGAAAGGAGAACAGAACTGAAGCTGTGTAAACAGGATGTTATCCCAGAGGAATTAAAGTGAATGGACTAAAGAGCTCTGTGTGCTGAGATTCTATTTCCCGAATATAGTCCTCACTGTTCATAGTTCTCTCTCCTGAGCCCCTGGGATGTATAATATTAAGGCTGGTCCCTCTAATATTATACAAGAGAAAGTCAAAACTAAGCTGGCAGAGCTCAAAGAAGAGATGGTGGGAAGAACGTCAGTGAGATGGCTCAGTGGACAGAAGTTCTTACCACACAAGCCTCAACCTGAGCTGGATCCCCAGAACCCACCATGGAAGGAGATAATTGACTTCCACACACACAGGCACAGGCAGGCCTGTGCACATACATGAGCACAAACTAAACAATCTCCAAGAAAACGAAAACCCAAACAAATGTTAAGGACGTAAAGCAGATGTGTTTCCCTGGGTTAGGTCCTCCTCATTTTGTACCCTTAGAATGATGACTGCCATTTAGTAACCCCACTTAGTTGTTAGAACATTTCCTTTTTCTTTTTCAATGATTTATTTATTTTTATTTTGCGTACATTGTACACTGCTGTTCTGCCTGAATCTATGTCTGTGTAAGGGTGTCAAATCCCCTGGAACTGGAATTACAAACAGTTGTGAGCGGCCATGTGGGTGCTGGGAATTGAACCCGGGTCCTTTGAAAGAGCAGCCAGTGCTTTTCGCCTTGGAGTCATCTCTCCGGCCCTAGAACATTTTCTATACCTGAATTTCTTCCTCTCCTAACATTAATAATCATTTTTGGAAAGTAATGAGAACGCAGAATGAGCTCTGTATTTACACTGTATCATAGAAACAATTTAAGGGATTCTTGTATTCCCTCTCCCTAACTCAGACCTGATATAATCCCCAACACCCCAAACTTCTAGCCACCCTGTCCTTTTATAACTCTAGATGTTCAAGTTGGATTTGGAATGGGAATGAAACGATTGGCTCTAGGCCCCTATCTGTTGATCTTTGTTTTCTGGATTCTTGTCTTCAGCTTCTCCATTCACAATCAACCATGTTAAGCCTTGACTACAGGGCTCATGGGCTAGGCCCCTCCCTTCTTGGGAAGGGTGTGAAAGGCCTGAGTGAGTACAGGGCACACTCTGGGTTGTTTCTAGGAAGTTTTGTTGTTTAGGATTGCAAAAATAACTGTTTGCTTCCTTTTGTTGTTGTTGTTTGTTTGTTTGTTTGTTTTTCCTTTTTTTTTTTTTTCTTTCTTTTCTTTTTGAGACAGGATTTCTCGGGTTGCTCTGGATGTACTGGAACTCCATCTGCAGACCAGGTTGGCCTTGAACTCAAAGATCCGCAGGCCTCCCAAGTGCTGGGATTAAAAACGCACCACCGCTCTGGGCTGCAGATGATTCTTGAAGTGTAAGGTGAGGCAGCCCCACCTGGAGAAGGCTGGCTCACACCTCTGCCCCTGGAAGGTCCATGCCCCGTGTACTGCAGCAGTGCCAAGGGCAGTTCGTAGGAGCTGGCACGTTTGCCCACAGCTGTCCCCACCACAGCGGTGAGGTTTCTCACCTGTGTGGGTTTGCAAGCATGTCTTGAGATGCCTAGGATGCTGTTCTTTCCCTCTCCCCACTCTGGTTAGGGGGCTTCTGGAGCGGTAAGGCTTCTCACCTGTGTGTGTTTGCAAGCATGCCTTGAGATGCCTAGGGTGCTGTTCTTTCCCACTCCCCACTCTGTTAGGGGGCTTCTGGCAGTGTCATGAGCAAGGGGCTCATTCATGGTGGGGGAGCTCCGGAGCGGGTGATGCCCTTGCAGGGGTAGCTGTGGGATGGTACTCTGGGGTAACAGCCAGTAGTTCCTCTCCACCCTGTGGAATTATTCCCGCTATGAAGCCGTAGCTGCAAGGGGAAGTCTTGTGCGCCGCTCCCCGTGGCTGAGCTGTGGTCCAGCTTCACACTGGGCCCATTGGGGCCCGCCAACCATGCAAAAGGACACTGTAATGCTTAATTCTGGGGCACAGCGTGGCCTTTGGCAAGGCTGATGACCCACTGACCGCCATGTTCGCTATCGGGGCTCTCAGCTACTCAGCACCAAGTTGCCCCTCAACCGCCCAGGAGCTGCTGAGTGGTGGCTCTCTGGAGGAGGGGCCGTGGGGGTGGTGCCGACAAGCCCCTGTCTGCAGGAGGAACAACTTCGGACCCTGCAGGCATGGGGCACTGGCAGGGTGGTACTCCACCTGGAAGAGGAGGATGGAGCTGAGGCTGGTGGGGACCATTGATTGCTGACGGGATAGGCAGTTGGAGAGAATCAAGTCTTTGAACTCCTGGGTCTCCTTCGGGGTGGGCGGCCTGGTCATCACTAGCTCTCTCTCCAGGGCTGGGACAACAGTGGCTTCTTGTGAGGGAGCTCTTCCTGTGACTGGTAGAGGTAAGGTGAGGTGGGGTGGGGTGGGGTGGGTTAGGGTGTGTGTGTGTGAGGGGCGTGTCAGTGAGAACACGGGGCGACAGCGCCTCACTCGTGGCCTAACAGCGAGGTTTCAAAAAATAAGAAACAAAACCCAAGACCAGAAGTCCCAAGTTGCTCGAGATTCTTCTTCTTCGGATTAAATATAAACTGTTGTGGTGCCTTTTTAGGAAGTTCGTTTGTATATCAAAATTCTCAGAAAAGCTGTATCTCTTGAAAGCAGCAGCCAGGCAAGCCCCAGGTCACACGCCGGGCTGCGCCCTTGGACCAGCAGCGTCCCCCACGAGTAATAATGCAGCTTATTCCGAATCCGGCCGGGGACAAGGTTTTAGCCCATCCTAAATACACACCCTTGTTTTTCTATTTCTAAGAGTCAGAGAAAAAGATCTTAGAAGCCAGAGAATGAAATAAAACATCAGTAAATATTCACAAAATTTAAAAAATTAGTTTTATTAACTTACTGTGCAATCTGAGAATGGGATATCTCAAGTCTTTGGTCAGCACATTTGATAATTTCTTCATATGACGTTACCTTGAGAAAACAGGTATTTTTTAAAATAAATATAAGCATTTGTATTTAATTTTGATTACTTTCTCCTTTTTAAAAAAATCTTTACAAGTTGAAGTTTAATTATTTGAGTACAATAAATGAAAATCTTACAGCAGACAAAAACATCCTTTTCTATTTTGATCTTAGGAACATGAGTAACCATAGAGTTAGGCCCACTCATCAGGCTGGAGATGTGGGTCCCAGAAACTAGACAACTCCAGTGAGGGCCCTGTCATCTCCCAGTCTCCCACACAATGGTACCAACGATACAGGAGTCAACTAAGGATTACAGCCTATTTGATTAAAGTTAATGCAGCCCCCCCCCCTTTTTTTTTTGAGTAAACTAGAAACCAAGCGTGGATGGCCCATGCCTGTAATTTTAGCACTGAGGCAGTAGAATGTAAGATTCCGAGGCAAGCCTGGGCTACATGTGGAGAAAGTCTCAAAAAGACCAAAATGAAAACAAAAAGGAAATTTAAACACTAAGTTGGCAAGATACTTAATTACCTTGAAGGTAAAGTAGCAAAACCAAGACTTTAAAGTGCCTGGCACAAGGTTCTTGGCCACTTTCCAGCTATCCCACTAATGAGGGCATTGAATGTGCATTACGAGGAAAAAGGGACCAGTATAAAGTGGCTTGGCAGACCTCAGATCCTTTTGGCTCTGGAGTTCCACTGGTTCTGATGTGATGTTTGTGTTGAATTTTATCATTGTTTGGTTTGCTTTTTATGCTGAGGACCAAACCCAGGGCACATGCTAGGCAGGCACTCTGCCAACTGAGCCACAGCCCCATCATTTTTTGATGCTTGGCATCATTTTTGAAGGTTTTGTTTGTTTTCCTGTCAGAGAACTTGTACCTTATTTATTAAGCTGCCTACATGTCTTCGGTACTTGTTATTCTCCTCCATGAGTCTGCTGTAGTGGTCTTCTTTGCTCTCCAGAAGGCCCCCCAGCTTTGTGATCTACGGAGAAACATCAGTGAAAATGTAACCTGGAAACCACCATGAAACAGGCATAAAAAATGAAAACAACCAGCTATATTTTAGTCCATATTCTCTGAAACAGAGTTCTACTAAAGTGAGTCGTGACACAGATCAGCTGGAGCTGGGGTTAGATTGCACACAGAACACACAAGCAAGGATTATGATGGACTTTCATTGATTCTGTTATTTTCCACTCTGAGACGGCTTTGGAAATAACCAAGCACCTGCTAGCACCTACGGACATCAATCACATCCAGCTGTCATTACTGTCCTTTTCCTAGATAACACGTGCAGAGACATGCTTGAGTGTGAGTCACAGCAGCGATGGGGTGATGAGGCACGGTCTGGGACACACTATCCCTTGCAAATGATGCTCATTTCTAAGTTTCAGCTTAATGTACTTCATGGTCCAGCCGATTGTCCAGTTTTCTCAAGAATATTATTGAAAATTAAAACAGGTTGGCAAGATGGCTTAGTGGGTAAAGGCACCTGCAGCCACAGCTGATGACCTGAGTACTGTCCCCAGACCCATGTGGAAAGGGAGAACCAACTCCTGCAAGTTGTCCTCTGACCTCCCTGTGTGCCATGGCACTTTCCATATCAATATGGTTACACACACACACACACACACACACACACACACACACACAAATCAATCAAATGTAATAAAAATTTTAAATAAAAAAATTACTTTTTTCTGAGAGAGGCATTTAGGGTTATCAGGAAAGCTTGTTAATATTTTTCTCTGAAAGTTACTTTAATTTTCAAAGAAATTATAGAAGAAAAACTACAGAAACCTTCCCATTAACTAGCAGTGCTAAGAGTGATTTTCAGCCTTCTCGCATTATTTATTTATTTATTTATCTATCTATCTATCTATCTATCTATCTATCTATCTATCTATCTATCTATCTATCTACCTATCTATTCATTTTGGTTTTTCGAGACAGGGTTTCCCTGTATAGTTTTGGTGCCTGTCCTGGATCTCACTCTGGAGACCAGGCTGGCCTTAAATTCACAGAGATCCGCCTGACTCTGCCTCCCGAGTGCTGGAATTAAAGGCATGTCCTCCCTTATATTCCTTTCTCTGCCCAGCCATTATCACTTCCTGTCTCAACCTTCCTAGTGCTGGGATTAAAGGTGTGTGACTCCCAAGAGCTGGGATTAAAGGTGTGTGCCACCACTGCCTGACCTTTGTGGCTAACTCTGTGGCTGGCTCTGTCCTCTGATCTTCAGGCAAGCTTTATTAGAGTACAACAAAATATCACATTTCCCCTTTTTTGTCTAAAGTAATAAAAGAAGGTTATAACTAATATAAGAAAAACTATATACAATAAGTATAATAACTATATATAATATATACAGGGAATAATTACATTAACAATGTCCAGTCCATTAACATTTGACAGACTCAGAGAAAATACTCCATTATTTATCCTATTTTGTGAGTCCAAAATGTTGTACCTAATTAATTTTCTATCCTAATTTGTATTATCAACCCCAAACTGTCTTTTGATGTCTTTCAAACTTATATATTTTACATCTCTTTAGTGAGTTTCTTTCCTAAATTTGTCAACAAGGAAACTATAATCTTCAAACACTTCAAAAACCTACAGAATATGGCATTTAATATGTTTTAAGAACTTAGACTTTTCTGGACAGTGAGATACTTCTGCTCCTGGAAGCACCAATTACTTCAAAGAGGATGATGGGCATCGAAGAAACTTGTTATGGAGTTTGCTTACAGTGTGGAAAAGGCTAACCATTTGGGCAAGAAACTGCTCTTGCCTAGACTGCTTGACAATATGTTGTATAAACTGGATATGCAGGACCCATAGGAAGGTGACCACTGAACTTTGCTAAAAAAAAAAAAAAAAAAAGGCAGGATGGTCCTCTAGGTTTCTGCTTCACAGAAGAAACTGCCAGACATTCTGCAGGACACAGAGGAAAGCAACTGACAAACTTTAATATTAGGTGGAATAGTCCTTCAAATTTCCTGCTTCACTGAAAAATATGCCAGTGACTCTAGGCCAGTAGGCTGAAGATGGATGCCCCAATATTACAGAGGAACTTTGGGTGACTGTCCAGGCAGCTAGATGTCTCTGTCATTTCTAGAATTTTGGAAGTTGCTTACAATGCACTTCCTGTTTACTTAGGTATTATTATATCCTTCTGGGGTCTTTGATGGAGATGATGATTAGATAGTCACAGTTTTCCTTAGTTATGATAAAAGGTAAATTAGATATAAAACTTTAGAATCACAAAAATAGGATAGATGATAGAATATTTTCTTTAACTTTGCTAAAATACAAATAAACTAGATATTGTAACTGTAATTCTTGCTTGATAACTGTTTTGTTATATGTAATTTTACTATGTTAAATTTAAAACCTTTCTTTTTGATTAGACAGAAAAGAGGAATTGTTGTGGGATGGTCTTTCTGTATGCTATGAATATGTGTTGCTTCCATTGGTTAATAAATAAAGCTGCTTTGGCCTTTGGTAAGTCAGGATAAGAGCCAGGCAGGAAATCCAAACAGAGCTACAGAGAGAAGGGCGGAGTCAGGGTAGACGCCAATCTGCCTCCCAAGGAGCAACATGCCAACAGACTGGTAATGCCATGGCCACATGGCAAAAGATAGATTAATATAAGTGGGTTAATTTAAGACATTAGAGATAGCTAGCAATAAGCCTGAGCCATAGACCAAACATTTTGTAATTAATATTAAGCCTCTGAATGATTGTTTATAAGAACAGCTGCTGTCCAGGCAGGACCAGGCAAGACTGAGAAACTTGAGTCTACAGTGGCACAATGCAATAATCTAACACACATAATTTATAGTGATAAAATTAGGACGGTTCAGACTTCTATCTCCATAGACCTTTAAAAAAAACAAAAACCTTTGATTGTCAGGGCATGGTGGTGCATGCCTTTAATCCCTGCACTCAGGGAGGCTGAGGCAGGCATCTCTGAGTTCCATGCCAGCCTGATCTACAGAACAAGTTCCAAGACAACCAGGGCTACACAGAGAAACCCTGTCCCAAAACAAACAAACAAACAAACAAACAAAAAAGAATCTTTGATTATCATGTGACAGTGATACATATTTATGCAGCTGAATGAATGGAAAAGGAAGATATTATAGAAAATGAAATAAATCAGGCCCAGGAAGTTAAAATCACTGCATGTTCTGCTTGAAAGATAAATGCTTTTAAACAGTTAAAGTGAGTGTGTAGTAGTGATATCTAGAGGATGGGAAGAACAGAGGAGAAGACAGGATGGCAGGGAGTTGGATAACAGGTAATAAGATCCAGTGTTCACAGGAACATGTGCCATATTCTACAAATAATCAGGAGGGAAGTGGCCAAAACTCCAAACACAAAGTCCTGGTAAGAAGGAAGAGATTTATTTGATTAATGCACATTGTATATGTATATTAAAATATAGTGTGAAAAAAAGAAAAATATTATACTGTACTATACTAATTCAGTTTTTTAATTGTTCTGTAACTGTCTAGACACCAAAATCATGTTTTCATTTCCTCCTGTTTTCTTGCATTCTCTTTATGTGCCACCTGAGGTAAACTCAGAGTTATTTCCAACCGCAGTCATTGAATGCAGCCATTATAGTATATATAATAGCCATTATATATACACAAAAGCTAAGTGTGCTTGACCCACAGTGGAAAGAAGCACATATTTTGGAGAGCTGTGCGTGGTGTGTATCTGTAAGCTCAGAACTTCAGAAGCTGAGCTGGGATATTGTGAGATGAAGGCTGTAAATGATGGGCTGGAGAGATGGCTCAGCAGTTAAGAGTATTTTTGCTGCTCTTTCAGAGGATTCAAGTTTGGTACCCCACACCCATATCAGGCAGCTCGTAACCAACTAGAACTCCAGCTCCAGGTGATCTGACACCCTCTTCTCACCTCTGGATGTACATACACACACAAATAAATAACATTTTAAAAAATAAATACATGAAAATAATAAAAGGAGGGATAAAAAAGCTAGTGGTAGAATGCTTATCTAGCATGAGGTGAGCCTTGGGTTTGATGCCTAGAATTAGGGAAAATAAAAGCATGTTTATCTTTTGGCTTCTGCATTTTGAAAGACATAAATCTTATTAGTCTAAACACAAATCAAGTTGAACAATATTTAAATTTTTATAATTATTTTTAAAAATTCCTTTTTATTTTTATTTTATGTGTATGGATGTTTTGTTTGCACATGTCTGTATATTGCTTGCATGCCTGGTACCTGGAGAAGTAAGAAGAGGGTACTGGATCTCTTGGAACTGGATTTATAGACAGCTGTGAGCTACCTTGTAAGTGCTGGGAATTGAACCTGGGTCCTCTGGAATTACAGCTTAACCACTGAGCCACTTTTCCAGACTGATATGTACAATTTTAAAACATGAAAATACTTCCATACTTTTGTTGGTAATATTGCCATAATGCCAGTGTGACTACTTTAATGAGCAATGCTTTGGAGGTTGATAACTTCTTAAAATGTAGTGGATAGTAATAGGCGTAAAAAGGGCCATAAGGCATTGGTCTGTCTTACCAAGAAATCAAGCTCCTCATTTAGATTGTGGTATTTATCCAGTTTGACTGCCAGTAACACAGGTGCATCTCTGGCATTCCTGGCTTCTTCCGAATCAATATCTGTGACCTGAGATTAAATATGTTTGCACACATTATAGTAATTACATACTCCTATTATTTTACAGTATCATTTTAACTTGAGAATCAAAGAAAGGGGACTGGAGAGATGGCTCAGCAGTTAAGAGAATTTGCTAATCTTTCAGAGTTCCTAGGTTCAGTTCCCAACACCACATGATGGCCTCGAAAACATCTGTAATTCCAGCTGATGCCCTCTTCTGGCCTCCTCAGGCACTGCATACACTTGGTGCATCTGCAGGCAGGCAAAACACACATAATTTTCTTTTTTTAAGGCTCAAAGATTGAGAGGATTGAGTGACATGAGACTGGATTCATAGAAATATAGAATTTGCTGAGTGGTCGTGGCACACACCTTTAATCCCAGCACTTGGGAGGCAGAGGCAGGCAGATCTCTGTGAATTTGAGGCCAGCCTGGTCTACAGAATGAGTTCCTGGACAGCCAAGGCTACGTAAGAGCTAGACTTCATCAAATCTGCCAAGAGACCATAAATATCTGCAGTGCTTTAGCATGTTGAAGACAAAGCGCACCATGTTAAACTCACCTCAGTAGTGTGATCTGGAAGTGCTTTCTCATGAGCAATTAACTCTTTAAGAGTTGCAATTCTGTTTTTATGTTTCAATAACTAGAAAAAAAGTATTTTATGTTTTAGAGGAAAAGAAATAAAATTACCTACTAGAACATTTATGATGAAGTCATGCACCCATACAAAGTCCAGTCCTTAATGCCTAAATGATGTAAATGATTTTACCACTTCCCTGACCACCAGTTCCTACAGCAGACTCAAGACTGCTACGCTTAGAGAGACCAGCTAGCAAGTCACCTAGAGCCCTGAACTGTGTGAGGTTTCTATGGTCCTTGCTACAGATGACTCACGGGGCCAAACTCTGTTGTTCACAGCATGCTGTTTAGAGTGAACACTTGCTTGCTTTCTGGTGGATGGATCTTTGGTACATGATTTCCCCAATAAAAATTCTATGGGCAAGTGGTTTTACTGAACTCCCCTGGCACATGACCCTTCACCCTGTGATCACTAATTAGTGCTGGGGAAGTGCTCTGCATACTTTCGGGACTCCTGCAGGACCTCTGGGAACCTGTTTCCTTCTGATTCGGCCCTACTGTGCTTTTCCCTGGCTGCTTTTACCTGATAGCCTTTTGGTATGAGACATCATATAGCTAGGACTATAGCTGGATACTGAATCCTCTGTGATCCCTGGAGTTCACGGTGGAAGGCGACAACCAACTCCTAAATATTGTCTTCTGACCGCCACACATGCACCATGGCCCATGTGCACCCCCCAACATACATACATTATTAAGTACAATTACATTTACATTTTTGGAAAAGGCAATGGAGAAACTCTAGGTACTTCTACCCTGACCCTTCTTCCCAATGAAGAAACACAGGGTTTTGTTTTAAATGTGTCTAAGTGACAAAGTTTGAAGCCACTATAAGGAATGTCAAAACGAACTCTTTAGGAATCAGTAATGCCATGGGAAAATGAAAAAAAAATTTCTTTCATTTTTATTACACTTATTTAGTGTGTGTGTGTGTGTGTGTGTGTGTGTGTGTGTGTGTGCACGTGTGCGCGCGCCTGTGTCGCAGTCAGAGGAAAACTTCTGAGAGTTTGTTCTTTTCTTCTACCATGTGGGTTCCAGTGGTGGAATTCAAGTCACTGGGCATGGTGGCACATGTCCCTAGCAACTGAGCCTGTCATCAGCCCCTGTGAATAAAATTCCCAATGCAGATTTAATTTGTAAAGAAGTCAAATTTTGGCTAGTCTATCTACTTCTAAGAGGCATAATGAGCTAGTCTGGTCCCCAAGAACTTCTTAAACAAATCCGAAATTTTAGGAGCAACTGCTCTGTGATGTCTTAGCTATCTCTTCCCACTAAACGGAATCAGGTTTTAGAATAAAGAATACAGTACCTCTTTCTCTAAATCTCTCTTCCTAAGGTGAAAGCTCTTCAGTTTTTGCAGCATTACGTCATTAGCTTTCTGGCTTTCTTGGCAATGTTCAGCGTCAGGAATGACGGTATCCTAAGGGTAATGGTTTGAGAAACTAGTTTGAAATTTTTGCTCTGAAGCTAAAATGGAGAAGAAAAACCTCCTTTCAGATATAAGGGGCCAAAGGAGATAAATCATATTGAATCCATGCTTCAAATGCTCTTCATTATCTCAGAGTTAATATAAAAGCCTGCACGTGGATTCACACACGCACATACATTGCTATTAAGAGTGGGTAGTTGGGTAGTGAGTGCCCAGTGGTGGTGGTGCACACCCTTAACCCAGAATGGGAGGCAGAGGCAGGAGGATCTCTGTGAGTTCGAGCCCATCCTGGGTCTACAGAGCTAGTTTCAGAAAAGTCAGGGCTACAGAGAAACCCTGTTTCAAAAAACAAACAAACAAACAAAACCAACAACAAAAGGAGTAGGTAGCATATTTGCTTATCCTCATCTATAATAAATGCATGCTTATACATTCATAGTATATTGATCCTTAGCCTGGCAGTGTACATACTCAAACTTAAATAAATTGTTACCTCTGACACTAGAACAGCCAGACATTCTCAACAATATTGCAACTAGGTAGTTCAAGAGTAGCCAGGATGAAGGTAACTATACCAAGATAACCTAGAGGTCGAATGTGCAAGGCTTTGTGCTTGAGTTCTGTTACTTACATGTGCAACTTTGGACAAGAGTTCAACTCTTCTAAAGCTTGCTTTGTTTTTCTGAGTTAAAAACAAAAGCCTAATAAGACAAAGAATGATGTAAAGTTGATTCAGACATGTCAGGGATAGTAAATGTTTGAAGGTAAGTGCCTCCAGGGATAGATAGTCAGTCAGGAAGTCAGCACATACTTGCTGCAAGCTCATTATGGGCTTGACTCTGCATTGGGTACAGAACAAACAGAAGGTTTGCATATCTAGTGGGGTGGGAGATACAGAACAGGCAAACAGGAAGTATTTATTTGGAGTGGGGTGGGATCCACTGAGAGGGCTGATGATACACTGCTATTAAGACATCCAGTACAGCAGCAGCCAATAAATGGACTGAAGAACAGCAGCCAGGAACCAGGGGAAATCTAAGCAACTATTGTACATACGCAGCTGTCAGGAGGGTGGGATAGAAAACTACTAACCAAGAAGAGTCTACACCACATTTAAGTCAAACCTTTAAAAACACAGTTATGTGTTTGTGGCCCACCTCTTTGAGATCTTTGATCTGCACAGCTTAGCGTGCAATCTGGCATTCAACAAATACTGATGTTTAACAACATTTAGCTAGATAATACAAAGTTTTTTATCACATTGAAAACACAGCAATGAGAGCAAGACATGGTGGTGCACGCCTTCCTAGTGATTCATTTCACTGACTTTTCAAGAATCAAGAAATGGTAGCACATGCCTTTAATCCCAGGACTTGGGAGGCAAAGGCAGGCAGATCTCTGAGTTTGAGGCCAGCCTGATCTACAGAGTGAGTTCTAGGACAGCCAGAGATATGCAGAGAAACCCTGTCTCAGAAAACTAATAAATAAATCAATAATAAATAAAAAACAAAAACAAAAACTATGGCAAGCTATGCACTCATATTTCAGCTCAGATGAATGTACTTACAATGGAAGACATGTACAACGGAAGAAAAAGCTAACTTGAAAATTTAGCAAGTACATACCCTTTCATACCATTTCTGTTGAATGCAGTGGCTGCACAGGACAGAGAGCAAGTATGGTTCCTTATTTAATGAAACAGGCTGAGAAAGCACATGTTACTTGGACAAGTCACATAACCAAGACATGTGAGGCCAGGATTTGAACTCATTGACACTTCATTTAAAAATTATCTTCTATCTATCTATCTATCTATCTATCTATCTATCTATCTATCTATCTATCTATCTAATGGATATATTGGTATTTTTTGATATTTTATGGATATATGGGTGTTTATACAGCCTGCATGTATGTCTGGTGCCCACAGAGGCCATAAGAGCAGTTAGAGCCCCTGGAACTGAAATTATAGGCAGTTCTGAGCCTTCATGTGGATGCTGGGAATCGAACCTGGGTCCTGTGGGAGGACAGTTCTTAACCCCTGAGCCACCTCTCTAACACTGTTACTTCATTTTTCATTCTACACATGTACATAGGTCTCCCTGCTCCAAATTATTTTTAATAAGGCAAACAAATCATTAGTGTGAACAATCCATAAGAGCAGACTGGCCCAAAATATAAAACAACTGCTCTGGAAGGAAGAAGGTCTAGCTATCTAGTTAGTATCTTAATTCTTTATCAGTTTCTCACTACATCTGACTGTACACAGATGTGGGAACTGGATGCCAAAGAGAAACAGTATGAGGCATCAGGAGAGGGCTGGGTGGTTGGAGGTCTGGTTCTCTCTTTTCTTTTCCTGTAACTTACTTCTGAGACCTTTCACAGCCTCTTTCAGCTCACCCCAACCCCACTGGAAGAGCTGATTTATTTTTATTTTGTTTATTTTTTACCTGACATGTGAGAAGTCCTATTGTCAGGGCCAAAAGACTGTGGATTCTAGAGGCCAGTGGGCAAGTCCTCGTCATAGGTGGGAGTTCCAGGGTTTCTTTACAAGGCGAGCAATCCACGAACAAATTAGAATGGAGCCACTTTGTACCCTATATGTACACAATTCAGATGTGTCACAACAAAGTCAAAGGACCCATATATAGCCTTTAGGTAAAATACTGATAAAGCTCTACACTTAAAAGTTATAAGCAGGGTTCTGAAGCATCTTTCCTTGGGATACCTTTATACTCTTAAAATTTATTGAGAAAAACAAAGCACAATTTTAAAAACAAAAAAAAATTGAGGACTATATTTTTTACATTAGAAATTGTAACAGAATGTTTTAGAGTATTTGTTTACCAATTCACTTGGCTAACAATCCATTATATCTCAACATAAATAGGCCTTTTATTAAAATTATGTCCTCAAAAATAAAAAACGCTAGTGGAGAAGCAGTTTTCTAGTTTTTGCAGATTTGAGGGTACTGGGGTTCAGACTCAGGGATTCACTTGTGCTCGGCAGGTGCTCCTCCTGTGCTAGTTACAGACCCGGACTCATTTGCATTTAATTTTAATTCTGTAGTTGAAAAGGCAGCAGGATTCTCATTTTTGATCCACACACTCTGTGGTGGTTTGAATCAGAATGTCCTCCATAGGCCCATATATTTGAATGTCTCCAGGGAGTGGCCCTTTTTGAAAGGATTAGAAGGATAAGGAGGTGAGGCCTAGTTGGAGTAGGTGTGACTTTGTTGGAGGATGTGTGCCTCTGGGGGGGTGGGCTTTGAGGTTTCCATGCCAGGCCCAGAGTCTTTCCCACTGCCTACAGATCTGATGTAGTTCTCAGCTACTGCTTCAGTGCCCGCCTGCATGCCGCTACGCTCCTCACTATGACAATAATGGACTAAACCTCTGAAACTATAAGCAAGCCCCAATTAAATGTTTTCTTTTATGAAAGTTGCCTTGGTCACAGCGTCTCTTCACAGCAACAGAACAGTGACTGAGATACATCCCATCAGCCAGGAGAGCAATTACATTACCACATGTTACACAGCTTCTAAAATACCACACACTTGAGAAATAACAATGGGAAAAGCAACCCTGTCTTTTGAGAGAGGTCATCAAAACTAGTGTTCCCACACACAGAGCCAAATTCTTCAACACTTATCTGCCCCTGCCCATCCTTTAAAATTTTTTTTTTTTTTTTTTTTTTTTGGTTTTTCGAGACAGGGTTTCTCTGTGTAGCTTTGCGCCTTTTCCTGGAACTCACTTGGTAGCCCAGGCTGGCCTCGAACTCACAGAGATCCACCTGGCTCTGCCTCCCGAGTGCTGGGATTAAAGGCGTGCGCCACCACCGCCCGGCTATCCTTTAAAATTTTAAGACAGTGTTGCCAAGCCTGGCTTCAAATTTGGGATCCTTTTGCTTCAGACCCCAAAAATCTGAGATTATAAGCATGTGCATCATACCCAGCAATAATGTCTTTGTTCCCTGCTGCTAGCTTAGTTACAAATATATATAGTGTGCTATATGAGTTCTGAGTCTGATCCACTTTTCAAACTGATTTTTTCCTTTTAAGAACATTCTTTATATCTGCTAAATAAATAAAAAATAGTTTTTATTGTCTATTACATTTAATTTTGTGTGTGCAATACATGTGAAGGTCACAGAACAATTTGGGGGAGTCAGATCTTTGCTTCCACCATGTGCATTTCAGTAACTGAATTCAGGTTCTCAAGCTTGATGGCAAGTGCTTTTACCCATGGAGCCATCTTGCTAGCCTCCAAACAACCTTATTTCTTAAGTAGTTTGTGTCTTACTATAAAGGTATGACTGGGCAAGGAATTGTGGCTCACACACCCATGATCCAAGCAACCAGGAGACTAAAACAGGAAGACCACCATGAGTCTGAAGCCAACCTAGGTTACATAATAAAACTCTGTCTTAAAAAAAAAGGGGGGGGGAGAAGAAAGGAGGGAGGAAGGGAGAGAAGGAAGAAGGAAGGGAGGGAGGGAGGAGGAAGGAGTAGCAGATGCAAATCCAAAGACTAGGGCCATCATAACCAATAACTGCCACTTGTTTTCCACTGAGACTAGCAAATGCTTCCTGGGCCCTCATCACTGCAGCTTGGATGCTCCGCCCCAGAAAGACTCTGCTGGGATCATTGAAAAGACACAGAGACAGAAGGCAGAAGAAATAGCTACACCACATCAGTCATGTTTTAATAAAAGTGCTTTTGACTTTACAGATGCTCTCAGAGCATATTTTGAGAAAATGGATCTAGAATAAAGAAAAAGCAAAAAGAGTGGGAATTTGGAGATGTTAAAGAAATTCTTTAGTCAAGATAAGACCGGGAAATTGACTTCTTAACACAAAAACTAATGGTGGAAAAAAAATCTATGTCTTGTTAAACTTCTGTAGTTAAATCACCTGGAAAGGTACCATGGATTGGGAGGCACTAAACTCGAGGTCTCTGCTGAAGTCAGCCGCTCTGAGGTGTGGCCCCTGGAACAGCACCATCCATTCCCCCTGGGAACTGCTAGAACAGCATGCTCTATAAAGTCTCTATGTCAACAAGCCCTCCTTGTCAGGATGCGCGTGTCCAAGACTGAGAATCACTGATCTGGGCAATTCTTAGAGAGCTCTTTAGTTTTTTTTTAAACAAAGACAACAACAGTATTTTCCAAAAAATAATAGATTTACTCTCAAATAACACATAAATATTATGAGAATGACGCCATGACTTGTTCACAGCAATATACCAACTCCATTCAAGTTATTACAAGATTAAAATAAACAAAGCTGGATATAGTGGCACATGCCTGTAACTACTTGGAAGGCAGAGGCAGGAGAATCACAGGAAATAGGAGGCCAGCTTGGTCTACATAACAACCAATCAACCAACAATTAAATAATAATTTTTCAAGTACACTAGACTTGTCCAATTTCCTAGCTCCAACTGGCTTGCTTTCTTCAGCAAGTTGACCCTTGGCATACACCACCACAGCTACCAGATCAGCTTTCTTCCTAACCAGCCAACTAACAAGGATTAACTTTACCTACGAAGTGCAGTGGCTCATACCTGAAAATCTAACACTCAAGAGTCGCAGGCATTATTAGCATTTTGAGGTCAAGGCCAGCCTCGACTACATAGTTTCAAGCCAGCCTGGGCTACATACCAAGACCCTGTCACAAACCAACCAAATTTGATTTGAGATTTTGTTCTTCTTTGAGGTTCATATACTTTAAGGAAGAACTATACCAGGTGTGCCCTGACTTGTGAAAACTACCCCTTCCTGGATGTACTTTTAGGTATTTTGCTCAAACAAACAAACAAAACAAAACAAAGCTTTAGAATGACATTAAAAATTCAGTTTCTCTAAACGTGTTGATAAAAGGTTTTAATGCTGTTTTCTATGTTTTATAATTTTACAAGTAATATGTGCTATAGTTTTACTTTGTAAGAAAAAGAACAATTTTATTCAGTTTATTGCTAAATTAGATTTGAAACCATATTTTAAAAATCCTCTGGTAGTCCAAGTAAATCAGACATGCCCTACAATTCCCAACAAAACAAAACAAAACAAAACAAAACAAAAAACAAGGAAGGAAGGAAGGAAGGAAGGAAGGAAGGAAGGAAGGAAGGAAGGAAGGAAGGAAGGAAGGAAGGAAACCCTCTTTCAAGGAATTCCTGTAGAGATGATTCTTAGGAGTGGTCATGGGTACCCATAAAACTCCCAGGTTAACTGTCACCTCTACCAAAATCAAGCCAAGCCAAGAATTATTGTTCTTCAAGGTGAGTGCCCAGAAACCAGTAGAAACTTCTCTAAATTTGTGGTACATTTCCCCTTCTGTTTCTATTTTAAAAAAACAATACTTCTTCCTATGAACAAGTACTATATCTGAGTATCAAGTCTAAATGTCCAACACTGACCACTTGAAACTTTGGGGATTGCATTAGACACTCAGCGTCTGCATCAGTACCTGGGTGCCGGATGCCTCCATCACTTCCTCCAGCTGCTCCCTGGACTGGATTATCTCAAAGTTAGGGGTGCAAGTTTGTGCCTCCCCCTTTGCAGCCTGCTGCTGGAGCTCTTCCTTTTCCTGCTTCAGCTCGTCGACCTGCTGCTGGAGCTTCGTACTTTTAGCTCTCTCGCTCTCGCAGGTGAAGAGCAAACTTTTCACTTCCGCGATCAGCTTCTCAACTTTAGATTTCAATTTCCGTCTTTCTTTCAGGTTCTCCTTTTCCCGCTTCTGGAATTCCTCCTGAAAGGCCACGAACTCTTGTTCCCGGATCTCCTTCTCCCTTTTCAACAAGCCCAAAGCGGAACTGGTGGCAATCTCCAGCTCGCCTTTCTGCTGCTGCAGTCTCTGTAGCTCTTGGTCTTTCTGGCTTAAGGTCTTCTCTATCTCCAGGCACTGGCTGACTGATCTGTTTCTCTGCTGTATCTCGGCCATGTACCTTTCCTGTAAACGGACGTAATGGACCTTGATCTTTTTAACCTGGAGCTGCAAGGTCTCCTTGTCTTTCTTGGATTCCTGAAGGTGCTTTTTGGCGGTGGCAGAAACCTCCTGCAGATCCTGAAATTTCTTGTTGATATCATTCTTCTCTAGGAGGACGTTGTATTTGTCATCGATTAACGCCTCCATGTTCTCCTTTAGTTTGTTTATGATGTCAACCAACATCTGCTGTTTGGTGACCTTCATCTGTAGTTCTTTAAGCCTGTTTTCCAAGTGCAGGTTCCTACCGTGGAGGTCTTGGATCTGCTTCTCCTGTTTTCTGTTAGCCTGTTTTAATCTCTGCAAGGCTTCGTTTAAAGCCATGTCCTCTTCCAGAGGCTCCAAGTTTTCAAAGCTTAGCTCCCTATCAGGCGTCATACACTTGTCCTGAGATCTGCTCTTGAAGATGCCTGCTGGAGTCCAAGATGAGGTAATGGCTAGGCTGTCTACACCGTCTTCTGTGACTTCCTCCTGGTGACTAACTGACATCTCAGAAATCTCCCCAGAATTCTCTATTTCTTTTGAAGAAACTTCAGGCTGTAAATTATAGTAAATAAATGCGAAAGAGTAGACTACTGAGTATAACTCCCAACAGCATGGCAAACACAAGCATAGACATAAGCTAGACATGTGTATCATATTTACTTAGATAAAAGAAAAATTACATTTGGGCTCTCATCATCTTTTATGATGTAAACCTTGGTCACATATAAGGTGCTTTCTTTGGTTTCAAAATCAATTAAGCAAATGTATTACTTACCCTATAGACTATAAAGATCTTTAATACTTCATCCATGCTGACTCCTATGAACATTAGAATGGCAGACATACTTCATGATTGTCTTTATGCCCACAATACAATTTTTCTGGGTGCGTGTATGTAACAAAAGACTGCAAAGTTGTGGTATAGAACACTGAAATGAATATGAAATTTAAACCCCTGTATGAAGTATCTGCAGGGGTAGTATTATACAACTTAGAGATGCTGAGCCCCTGCACATTTAATGGCTTTTCATTGCCCTGGGATAAAGTCAGTTATCTTACCAAGGTTCCCAAGACCCTGCTAATTGCTACTGATAGCATACCCTAGTACCCTGTCATCCTCCTCTTCCATACCCCCTTGCTCCCTGCAGCTCCATGTTTCCTAGACTCTAGGCTTCCTTGAGGCCCTAGTAGGTACCACAGACCTCGCAGGTACAGGGAGTCCATAGAGATATTACCCCTTGTTCGTGGAATGCTTCCCAATCCACAGTTGTTCAATGGACCTTCATTTACCCATCAGAGCTCAGCCCAAGGACTACTTCAAGGAAGCCTCCCCACACTCTCTTGCCTGGTGAAATACCCTCAGCAGAGGCAATCATCACCCTGTACAGTTCTAAGAGTCAAGTGCACAGTGGTTTGTGTGCTTGTTTGGTTAATAGCTGTCTCCTTTACTGGGATGATATTTTCATGAAGAGCCGTGTGTTTTTCTTATTTGGTTGTTTTTAACATTATATAACCATTACATAGCTGTCTTGTACACAATAGATTCTCACGAGTACCTGTTAACTCCTTGGCAGGTGTGTGTGTCGGGGGGACGGGGACTAAATGCAATGGGGAAAGGGATACACAATTTTGAGAAACCTTAATTAAACAGATCTTGGAAATGCTGGTTTCTAGAAATCAACATTCTAAGAAGTTCTCTTTCAAATACTGCTGTCTAATTTCCAAATCAATAAACAAAAAAACCTGCTCATAGTCCCAGACAGATGAGTAATACCTTTTCTTATGAAACTCATACTACAAAGTGATTATTTCCACTACTCTTGGATTAAACTCTTCTGCTGAGGTTGTTTATTGATCACACAGACTTTCTACTGTTAATGTCATCAATGCATTTAGGATATCACAGGTGACCACAACCAATGACACCTAAGACAATAAGTATTTGCTTGTCCAAAGAAGTCCAACAAAACAGACAAGGCTTTTGCTTTTTTTTTGTCACATAATTTAATAAATACCTCTGTACAACCTCCCTTTCTCAACCCTTCCCACAAGGCCAACTCTTGAGTCTCAGCTGGTTTGGTGTAAGGCACCATGTTGGTACTACACCATGTAAAGAGTAAGAGTAGGACAGTGAGTCATAATCCTTAGAGAAATAACCATTTGGTAGAGCTACTCTATAGGTATGGACTGAATTTATCAGGAAAAATTGTATCTGATTGGTTAAGCTCTCCATGGAAGTACAGTCCCTTGAACTGACCTGACGATTTAACGATATTTGGAAAGTCTCAGACTGTGTGTCTGTAAACAGTAAAAGCACCCCTGCACCCATTAACACGCTACATACAGGCTTTAATGACACCAGTGTTCGATCTTACCTCCTCTGTTTCATAGTTAGTTCTGAAGTCAAGCAGGTCTAAGCAATTCTCACCATCAAATGCATCTTCACTACTTCCGCAGACATTTTCTTTACACAGAAAGCTTTGAGACTGACTGATGTTGAGGGCGACATCTACAACAGTGCTTCTAGCCAGTGACTTTTCCACACATGGCTGTGTCTCTCCTCTGTAGTAATTCAGAGAAAGACCTCGAGGAGATCTCCTGAGGTACTCATCAGCAAGTTGGTCTTTATTTTCGGAAATGCTATCTTCCATTGGACTTTCTCCCTTATATGCATCTAGCTTCTTGCTGGCATCTGCTGTATCATTATATTCCTGGCTTTGCAACTCTGGCTTCTCCGAGTAAGAAAAATCCTCCCCCAGGTCTTGAAATGTCATCTCATCATTAAATGCTTCTATCCAGTGAAATTTGCAAATGGGTTCAAATTGTCTCGAGGAAGAAACCCTAGTGTTAGCTGGTTGATTCTGCACACTCTCTGAGTAATTCCCAAGGTTGACATCTTATTAGAAAAAGAAAGAAGATGATGAGTTACCATAAACATATGTTGTAACTGTTATACTTAAAACTAAATATTGAAATCTTTTAAGAATTGTGTGTTATTTCAAACAAAACAACTTTTTCTATTCTTTTTTGTTGTTTCGAGACAGGGTTTCTCTCTGTAACAGTCCTGGTTGTCCTGGAGCTTGCTTTGTAGACCAGGCTGGCTTTGAACTCACAGAGATCTGCCTGCCTCTGCCTCCCAAGTTATGGGATTAAAGGTGTGTGCCACCAACCCCTGGGCAAATTCTTCTAAACTTTCATATTGGTTCTAGGAGTTTGTAGGTGCTTATTAATTTCTTATGTAGAAAAATCATGTTTACAAATATCACTTCTCTTTAACTTAAAAATTGTTATTATTGTATATGTATAGATGTGTGGGAAGACATGCCACAGCACATGTGTGGGTCAGTGGACAACTCTGTGGAATTCTCTCCTTTCTCTTTTATGTGGACCCTGGGGATTGAACCCAGGTCACCAAGCTTGCATAGCAAGCACCTTTATCTATGGAACCATTTCATAGGCCCTTGTCTGCCTTTTTATAATCCTCACACCACTTGCATTTCTTATTCCTGTGTATAATGAATTCTAGAGTGAGGTTTGCCAAATCTTTTAAAATTATTATTCTTTATAGTTATTAAAACAAATTTCTATATATTATTTGGGCTTTCATTGATTAATATGGTTAGTGTGTTTTATAACTAACTCTTAACTAGCTTTTAACCCAGTATCAGTTTAAGACAAAATAAGAAATTTTGGTTATATCAATACACATCTCCTAAAATGCTTGTGTGGTATTCTAGTGTTTGAGACGATTTGAATCACAGCGTGCTCATTAAAGATACATGACTCTGAGCAAATCAGATTCTTAATGCAAAATGTAAATATAATGTACTCTTATTTCAGAAAAAGAAAACCCTAACATTTCATATGATTACCTGTGGTTTACTTTAATAACATATATATATATATGTTATTATACATTTTTATAATTATTTAATAACATATATGTTATTACACACACACACACACACACACATATATATATATATATATATATATATATATATATATATATA